AGAGAGAAGGAGAAAGCGAAAAAAAGGAAAAAAGAAACTGTTACAATTACAGTTAAAAAAAATAAAACTTTTCTGTCATATGGAGGAATAGATTGAAATAGATTAATAATATTTATTTGTTTGAACAAAGATTAAAAAAAAAATGTAAATATTTCCAATAATTATTATCAAAAAAAAAAAAAAAAATTATAAAATCAAACATTACTATTATTTTAGTTATTAAATTATAAATTAAGATAAGAGTAATTAGAAGTAAAAGTTAGAATGAATATTTTGAATTAGAAAGCCCGCATAAGTTATTTTGCATTTATAAAATTCAATGAATGAAAAAGAATGAAAAAAAGAAAATTAAAAAGAAAAAATTAATAATCATTGCAAATGGATGAAAAGAAAAGAATGAAAAATTTTTTAAATATCAAATGATTGAGAGAATAGCAATTAAAATAATTACTAAACTTTTTTTATCATCTTTACAATATCATCATTTAAGGTGGAATGAAATAGATAATATGCTTGCATTCTATTCAATATATTCGTTTTTTTTTTCGTTGTAATAAATGACCATAAAATTTGTAAAGAGTTTGATGAATAATTCAATCGAAAATGATCATTTTAATGCGTTTGTCTACATCATCCCGAAACGATGCAATATAATCCGGATACCGGTTTCTCTTATTTCAATTTCAATTTCAATTTCAACTTTCCTCATATTTCATCATTTTCCTACGGTGTTAATTTCAATCAGATAAAAGATATATTCAGTATTGTGAAATTACCATTCATAAAATTTAACAATTTCATTTCTTAACTAAATAACCAATTGAAATTATTGCATATCAATAGATTTATCATAATTTTGCAACTTTTCAATGTATTATCATTTGACGCTCATCGATATCATAAATAGTTTAAAAATAGCATTCCGGAAAGGATGGGATTCATTCCGGAAAAGACACATTTCGCTTATTTTTTGACCATCTATTTCATTTATTTTTCAGCAAATAATTTAAATTTACTAAATTTTATCTACTATAGCCTCATATATATGAAATATGAATGTTGGAAATTAACGTTTTTTTTTTTCGCCCAAATTCTGGATTCGTTACATTTAATTCAAATTCTCATATTCGTTACATTGAATTTAAATTTATTAAATGCATTAATTTCATTGACACTTGAAACGATAATTTATTAACTTAAAATGGAATCTTTGCAAATTTATCTATATTTTTCATCGAAAAAGCAATTTGCTCCTTTTTTTAAAAATTTTAAAAATTGGAAGTAAAATTTTAATTTTAGTGATTTTTTATAGCAATTCTAGTAAAATTTTTTTAAAACTCATTTAAACATGTACTCTTACCCTTTTTTTTTCAAATTCTCAATTCGCTACATTAAATTCAAATTTATTTAATGCGTTAATTTTATTCATGCAGATAAAAATACTGCAATGATTACAAGGAATACCGAAATACTCATTTTAATATAAATGAAAGGAATATTGGGATAATTTTGAATTTCCTCTAAAAATACGAAATATTCAGTTGTTTGTTTTAATGTCATTGTTTATTTTAATTTTTTTTTCAAGCTTTTTCGTATATCGTTTCTTAAAATTTCTTTCTTCTTTGACATTCTTCATTTAATCTTGCCAATCATTTGTTTATTGTTAACTTATTTATTGTATAACTTTTTGGGATTTGAAATTATCAATAATTTACAGGAATAGTTGAAATTCAGGAAGTGCAGTGTATTCGAATATGGAACACTTCCAACAACAACGTTTCATTTCCGTTGATGGTGCTGATGTTACGAATCCAGCTAATGGATTAATTAATTGGCAACAAAATCTTAATGATATATTGCATGGATGTAAGAAAATTTCAAAAATCTTGCAACTTATTTTTTTTTTTTCAAAACGTTTACTAATGAAATATATATTACGAAGGAAAAAGAAAGGAAAAAACAATGCAAATTTTGAATAATTCAATTCAAAAATAATTCGAATTGAAGAATTATTGAAATTTCGTTTGAAATTTTTTTAAATTTATCAATAATTGATAAAAATTTTAAATTATTTCTGCCATATCTTTAGTAAAACTTAGATATTGCATAAAAAAAGTTCGAATTTTAAAATTAGCAAAATCAAATAATTATTGTATTCCAATTTTTAATCATTCTCGTGCTTGACAATTTAATAATGAGGAACACAATTTTGAATTTCAATTTTTAGCCATTCTCTTGGGTGACAACTTAATGATGAGAACTAAATGATTAATTTTAAAACTTACAATGATGAAGCTCACGACCCCTTTTTTCAAATGATGCCACTGATCTAATTATTGATATTAATCCAATTATTCAACATTATCAGATTATTCTAATTATTAAGCTATGATAAAACAACAGCAATTATTATATCAATTACCCACAATGCTAAATGATAATGATAGCAAATCAATCGAATCGATCAATAATGCAAAAATTTATATATATCGCGGGGAAAAGATTGCTGGTTTTGAACTGCAAGGTATCCGGATGATATGCTTGCCACAGGTAATTGCTAAATTTTGCTGAAAATTTTCTCCTAATTATATCAGAGGTGAATATTAACAGAATTAGGAATATAAAAATGACAATTTTTTGTACAAAACTTTTAAATTTGCAAAAAAGCTATGATTTTTTTTTTGTCAAAGAAAAGAAACTGTAAGTTTTAAAGTACTAATAATGCAATTTTTAAACGCTCTAAATATTATCATTAACAAGTATTTGTGGTACTTATTTAATGATAAATGATATTTTAGAAATGAATGATTAAAAAGATAAATAATATAAATGATGTTGATATTTAATGATGAATGATATTTTATGTGTTGACTAAATTTGTTATCACTGTCAACTTTAGAAAATTTTCTGAAATAAGTACCACTATAAAGGAAATATTAAACAAAAGAAAAAATTAGTAGTTTATTTAAAATTTATTCAAAATTTGATGAAAAAGTTTTGTCTAAAATAGCATATGATTTTGTTAACATTTATCATTTCAATATCTATCAGTAATTTATTTACAATGCTATCATTTTATTTGCATTTTAGGCTTATGAGATATTTTTAAAAAATGTTATCAGTGGTCTTCATACTGTTCACAGCAAATTAAAACGTCTTCAAATTCGACTTGTTATTTGTAACATTGAACAGGTCTAATTTTGTTCCTGCTAATTAAAAGTTAATTTTATATATTATATTTTTATAAGATAAGCAATAGGATAGGATAACTATTTGCTCATATAATAATTACAGCAATTATATTTATAATTAATTAATTAATGCATCAAAGAACGAAGATTGGATTAAATAGTAAATTTATGTTTTGATTTTCTTAAAATTACAACATGAAAATATTATGTGTAGTTTCCATTTTAGCACGAATTTATATCGAATTTACAGTAAATTAAATAAATTTACATAATCCACCTAAATATATAAAAAATTACACCTGAATTAATTACCCTGTGGTAATTATCTGTCATTATCATTGCAGCAGATCAATTGTTCTTTCCGCAAAAAAAAAAAAGAAAATAAAAAATACATTTGAAGAAAAACATAAGAGACGAATGTATACTTTATTTGCATAATGGAACGGTTTGTAATTATAAAATCATATCCGGTTGCTTCCTGAAATAGCATCCGGTAATTGAAAATGGAATGGAAAATTTTAGATTCGAGCATTACGAAGTTTGGGTGCTATTCAGCAAGGTGTTAATCGTTGTAAATTAATTTCTTACACTGATTTTGATCAATTATACGATGATTGCTATAAAATTCAGTAAGTTACAGGAATTTATTAGATTGAATCATTCATATCAAATTTTATTACCATTAATTTTAATAATTAAATAATTTGCCAATAATTCATTCTTTCACTTCTTTACAGATTTAATTTGACGAAAAATGTAGTATCTTGAAATGAAATGAAGTAATCATTGATATAATTAATATAATTTACAATTTACAATTTAGATACTACGCTTTTCTTCGAGTTTTAATTAATGCTTACGGTTTGCATTGCAATTAAATATTTATAGTTCTAATTATAATTTCAATTACAATTACAATTACAATTTACAATTTTAATTTTTAATTGATATGATTAAATATAATCGCTGTATTTTATATAATATAATTAATATGTTACATTAATGTGACAATTATTCATTTCCAGTCATCGATCAGGTCGTCGAGCAAAGTGTTCCATAGAATGGGATAGTAAGCCAAATGATATGAATAAAAAACAAAAATGCACTTCAGATCGTTCGTAATTATTTTAATACTTTTTTTTTACCATTTTATAATCTTTGATGCATTTTCGAATTATTTTTAACTTTGGAAATTATAAAAAAAAAGCAAAAACTTTTCCGATATTATTCACTATTCTAGCGTAATTTATAATCAGAAATGTTCTTTAATCAATATCTTATCAATTATATCACTAAATCGATTGTTGTATGATTTATTATTATGTAGGTAAAATATTTCCTTTTTGTTTAAATTATGAATAAATTTGAGAAAAAAAATGAAGCAGAAAACATTCAAAATATTATTTTAATAAATTATATAGTACAATATTAAAGTATAATAGCCATTGAAATAAGACGATATAATTGTGCAGTACTTATGAAAGTGACAAAAAGATTGATTATCGATAAAAAAATTATTGGTATCGTATAAGAGATGATTTATATAAATGATATAGTATAATAATTGTAAGAATTGATCCAAAAATGCTGATAATATTACTAATATATCTAATAAAACATACTTAAATACTTCATGAATTCTTACTCCATTATTATACATGATTGCTTAGAAACTTATCAATTTTTATAAAAAATTTTAAAATGTAAAAAGTGAATGAGTAAATTTTTAAAATTTCAATTGAACAATTTATTATCCCATTAATTTATGCGTTATTTTGCATAGAAAAAAGAAAAAAAGAAAAACATTAAGCTCAATTTTTTTTTTTTATCAAATTTTGATATCATACAATATATTTTGTAATACATAATTCCAAATAATTTTTTTTTTTTTTTTATTCTTTCAAATTTTTTTGAATGCAATTTTTTTTTTCATTTGCAATTAAATTAGTTTATCAAGAAATCTATACTTTTTAAATATTTTTTTTATTAATTATAAGAGATATGGTAGTTGTTAAATGATATGTAAATGTTCAAGGAACATTGATACCATTTACAACAATCCAACAGATTGTTATACAAGATTTGATAAATGCTATTGCAACAGATATTACCGCTTCAGTATCACTACATGCAATCGAAAAAACGATGGATACAAACATTCCAGAGCAGGAAATCAGGTTTTCTTTTTATGTTATCAATTATTGATACAAAAAATCTTTTCATTATTATTTTAGACTTTTAATTATAATTATCATTCAATTATTAGTATTTTTTATATAAAAATGTAAAATATATAAAATTTTCGTTTAACTTAACTATAAGTAAATTTTTGCCATTTTTCAAATGCATCGTAAAATTTCTCGCATTAATTCTAAGCAAATATAATGAAAACTTGTTCGTTTTAATTATTCCATAAAGTATTTCATTACCATCGGTACCATTGAATTTGGCTAAAAATGTTGACATTGTTGACAATCATCAATATGAGAGTGACAATAATGTAAAGCAGAAAGGAATTTCGAGTGATAATTCCAAATTTATTCATCAAAACGATTGTACCAATCAGGTTTTTACTATTATCTATTATACCCAAGAACTTTTTTTTTTTTTTTGTCTGCAATCTGAATCAAAATTTTCATCCATCTATCTATAGAAGCTTAAAAAAAAAAAATTTAGTGTTCGCATTATCATTTGGAAATATCCATAACAAATGAAACATTTTTATAGAATAATTATTTCATGTTTTGACGCATCTCTAAATTATTTCAGATTAGATTTTATCAATTAATAATTAGAAGATACAATGAATATAATATTTTCAGGATGTTTCAACCGAAAATATGGAATTTTTACAAGTTTTGTTCAGTAAATTAATTACGCTGATTAAAATGACAACAACAAATTTAAAAATAATACATGAATTGGTTGAAAATGAGAAATGTGAAGTTTTGTTTTGATTGTTAATGATGATTAATTTAACAAATATTTTCAATATATTTTCAGAAATAAATAATTTTATATGAAATATTTTTTCGAATATACTTTTTTTTAAAAAATTTGTTGACGTGACCTTATGAGAAGATTATAAAATAGAAGAAATCATTCATATTTGTATTATAATTAATCTTATGTATATATATTAAAATTACAAATTGGCAATGAATGAAAAACAAAAGAACGATAAGGTTTAATTTTTTTTTCAAGTTTTTAATTATCATTACAGCATTTATATGTAAAGTGCAAAAAGATCTTCAATGCAAGCAAAATGAATATGATAAAATACAGCGAGAATTGTCAATGGAACAACAAAAAGCCAGTAAGTATAAATTTATATTTTATAATTTTATATAATTTATATTTAAAAAAGAATTTATATATAGCCAATAAGCATAAATTTATATTGCAATTTATATTTTGTAACATTAAACAAAAAGAAGAAAAAAACGAAATTAATTTCAAATTTAAATGAATTTGAAGAAAAGTGTAATTTAAATTTATGCAAATTAATGTCGAATTAAAAAAATTGCACATTGTGTAGAAATAATACATTGTTTAAAAATCTCAGAGTGAAATGATAAATTATTGATTTGTAATTGATATAATCACACTGGATAAAGAAAATGTTTAAATTTCGATATCATATATTCGTTATAATTTTCCCTTCTTTTTTAGAAAATTATTTTTGGCGTTATTGCAAAGCAAAGCGTGAATCGCTAATGTTGAGAAAGAAATTAATTAATTTAAGCAGCAGTATAAAAAAATAAACGAAACTTGAATAGTAATCAAATATCAGATACAAAAAGGAATAGATTTGATTCAACAAATAGATCATCATCCATTGCTAAATATTTGATCTAATGACCTCTGTCTCAAAATGTTCATGTATATATATATTTACATGCTGATTCATTTTGGAATATAAAGATCATCTTATTAAAAGAATCATACAACTTTTCCTTGTGTCTAGAAACTAATATGGATAGTCCTTTTTTCTTTTTCTTGATTTTATTATTAATTATTTATTCTAAAGCTTGTGGGTTTTTTATTTGATGTTTTTAGTAATATTTGAATGATTGTAAAAATAATTAAATGTAACAAATTATCTGTTTAAATATTATAAGTGTTTGAATTTGTTGATAATTTTCAAGGTCATCATATTAGAAAAATCATTCTGGCTTATCAGTTATAATATAACTTTTCCTCATATTTAGAAAAGAAAAAGCTTCACTGATGATAGTTGTTCTTTATTGTTTCTTTCTTATCATATCACTTCTTATCAATGTTATTCTAGTATTCAGTTATTGATTATTTCCTTTT